TTCGCCCCGAGTAAGTAGCGATGCCTCTTCTGCCTTTCTTGAAGGTGTTGACATTGACCTGTTTTGCCGGGGCGAATTCGTGTACATCAGATCATTGAGCAGGGGCCTACCCTCGAGCGGAGTCATGTAATTCGGTTCACGTAATTCGGTTCACGGTCGACATGGCACCATCAACTGACGAGAAGTCGACCTCTTGGCGAGTCAGCGAGTCAACTGACTCCCGAGCCTGAAGTCAACCAAACATGAATCCCATGCGACGCGAACTCCGGAGCCGAATGCTACGCTAGGGGTCGGGTCGACGGGTTTCTCAGCAAGCGGTATAGGATGGTATAGGGTTTTGAGGGACCAAGGTTGGACCAACGGAGCGTCTGGGGTTAACTTGTTTTCGACCTGTTGGCTTTGAGTAGGGAAACCAATCCCCCCGAAAGGTGTGATTATAAACATGTAGCAGTTGGTTCGGGTCAATGAGCGTCTGGGTGAATGTTTATTGTTTGATGGTGCTCCACTTTTCCTGTGTTTCCTAGCCACTCACAATTGACCAAGCACAAGTCATCGCTGCCGCTGCCAAGGCCCGCAAACAAAGCCACCGATCCCATGCCAAATCCAGGGCTCGGCCCCGGATAGGGGTGGTTAATGGACATCCCTGAAACCCCCTAAGGGGCTATCTATATAACCCAAACACTCCATGTATGCCATATATGCCTACATTGGGGTGGTTTTGGGGGTCAATGTAGGCATATATGGCATAGATGGAGTGTCTGGGTAATAATCAGACCATGTTTTATAGGGTCTCCTGCTTTTCTCGGTCAAGAACCGAAGCTGTTCTGCTCAAGGCTCGCATGCGCCAAGAAGACGGTCCAGGTCGATTGTGGAAAAAGATCCAGTATACGGAAGAGGGCAATGACCAGAGTAACGATCCAAGTGGCCTGGCTCGCAGGTCCGCGAGCTCTTTCGCGAGCGCGAAGACCAAACGCGCCGAGTCGTGGTGAACACCGGACGCGAGCGGAGTCGCGTGGGTGTTTGGCGGAGTCGTATACCACTTGGAGTGGAGCTGATAGAGAAGTCTGAGACTAGTCTGAGGCATATTGGATTGAACTGGTGCCTTTGAACTAGAGATTCTCGACGGTATGACCAGCAAGGGTTCCTACACGATGCTACAAGGTCTCTGAACATTTAACCCAGATCTTCATGGTGCTTGGGACTGCACTTGAGAACTGCTAAAGGTTCCAAGTTTTTGATGGGTGAGCACGGTGAGCACATGCCTGCTGGAGACACAGTGGATCTTTCAGACGTCTGTTGCTTGTTTTCGACCGATGAAACTATGGCGACCATCGCTGATACCGTCGGGCTATTCTCTGCTTCACTTGATTTCACTGGTCGAAAGAAATCCCCAGTTTGTTCAACGAGGTAATAATTTTTTAGCCACTGCATTTGGAGCAGATGGCTCATTGAACGTGTGCAAACATGCTCGGCTTCCGGAACAATGAGCATCTGTGCAGCACAAGATAGATGCTAGGGATGTCCTAGAGAGATCCTCGACCGGTTCGGTGAGTTTGGAGAGTTCTCCAGTTCTTGAAACCATTAAAACGGATTAAAACCACAACGGTTGGTTTGTGGCACCAGGTGGATCAAAATCATTTCAAACTGTTACTACTTATGGCCTCCGGCCTCCACCCTAATAGCAATGGCCTCCAACCTAGTAGCTTCTAGTAGCGATCAAAGACATACTAAAAATTCAAAAAACTTATTGTTGCTAGTAGTGATGGCCTCCAACCTAATAGCGATGGTCTCCACCGTGTCAATCAACGAACCCATTGGGCCCAAGACTGGAGGTTTGAGGTTTCATCTCGACGGCTTAAACACCGCTAGGTGGCAATCGCAGCCGCCCTGGAATTGAAAAGGACCACCAACGTCAGCGCCTTCAGCCAGCCTGTGCCGCCAGGGTGGAACCGCGACGCACGAGTGGAGACGTTTTTGAAATTCCTTTTTGCCTCGTGGCGGTTGCCTCGTCATGCAGCACAAGGACAAAGGCGGACAAACGCGTCGCGTTTGTAGCTTGACATCACTCGCATGACTGCGAGGGTTGTATTGTGCCAGCAAATTCCAGCATACACCCATTAACCTGGCAGATCCTTACGTGGAAATACCTTATGACCTTCTTCATCCTTATCCCAGCACAAAGCCTCCTGGTTGAACAATGTTGAACATACTGGCACCAATCATTGTTTTGGGCCTCACCGTAAGACAAACACATGTTTGTAGGTCAAAAGTAGGATACCTTGGTTGATTAGATGGTGTTGGGGCTCCTGCAAGCATCCCCCGTTCCCCTGCAAGTATGGTGAATACTTATTATATATACTACTGGTAGCCATTCTCCACCATTCTCCCATGTGGAAATGAGGTCACTTCCGTCAATCTGGTCATTCTGATCGTTGCAGAACCGTGGTTTCACATGGTTTCACCGTTAAAAGAAGAAACCAGCACAAAGTCCGACGAAGTCCAGACGGTGAACGATTTAGTGATGGTGTCCTTTTCGGAAAACACACGCAGGCTCCACGGGCCTCCGATCTGCCTGGTCTGCCATTTCCACCTCTCCTTCACCCACCGAAAATAGCACATCTTCGCGCGGAGAAGATGTGGTTGTTTCGCGCGTGAAAAAAGCCACATCGACTCGCGGTCGCGCCTGCGGTTTGCCAGTCATGGCTCAAGAAATTGTCGATGCGCTTCGTGACCCGGCTCAAACGGAGGTCACCCAGGCTCCGGGGCTCCCGCTGTGCGAGGTACGTTCGCCACCCGACGATGCAATGGTGCAAGTTCGCACCTCTGAGGAGACGAGGCTCTAGCCTGGGCGCAGCGATGGCGGCAAGGGGTGCGTCTCGCTTTTACGACCCGTTCGGAATGCCCGCGCGCGCGGGGACCCGGGGACACAGCCCGGTGATGTTTGGGGGGGTTGCAGAAACCAAAAACGTCGAGAGACGTTAGACGTTATTACAGAAAAATGACCTCGACCCGGAATCTTAGGACCCGAATCCTCGTATGGAGGGGTCAGGGGTTTCCCACCAATCCGGTTTCGGGAATGTTCAGGCACGAAGCCGGTGATCAGTGGTTACTTCGTCTCGTTTTTGCAGAAATGGGCAGAACGTCTCACTGTCTCCATGAAATACAACTGCACCAAACAATTCCCTGCCAGGTGCAACCTGTCCAAACGTGCGCTTGGCCAACAGAACTCCTAGTAGTGTCCCTACCAGGACCTTCCCAGTGACCTTTTGAGATCCCAGAATGAGGTCACTTAGGCCTTGAAAAGGTCACTTACCAATCCTGAAGAGGTCACTGAGAAGGTCTTGGTATATTATGCATCTACTCCGACAGTCTGCGCAAAGTTTTTGCTGCTGGACCTGCCAGTTTTGGAGATGAATCGAAGCTAGGCTTCCAACAACCATTAAATAGGCTTTACCGAATCAACCAGGTCAACCAATGTTATTTAAATTGTCTTGGAAGTCTAAGGCAACAGCATTGGGTCATCTTGGATCCAAATTGCACACGTTGTTTTTTCTCGGCATTTGTTCAACACCCAGCATGTCGTCAGTCGCATGTATCTCGTCGCCGGAAGACAACAAACAAGAACTGGCCAAGGACTGCAGGTGTGAATCTGATACACTCCGACGAACACATCCCATAGAAGTAGATGGCACCTCTTTTTTCGTCAAGGAAAGTGTCTGATTTCAAGGGATGCCATCCACTTTCATTCATGTGTTCGTGAGAGTGTAGTAAGTGTGGTGCGGCCAGTGGCAGTTTGGAGGCCAGCCTAGGCCTATGAACCTCAACAGGCAGGTTATGAATACCTCATTACCAAGACCTTCGCAGTGACCTCTTCAGGATTGGTACGTGACCTGGGAAGGTCCCGGTATAGTACTCGCCCGAGCCGATTTTTGAGAAGAACACGGAGCATCGAGTTTTCAAGTTTTCGCAGCTTCTCCACATCAGAAGCTTTTACCCTCAACCCACTGGGCCCGAAATGGCGGCACTCCCTCAAGCACTCCCTGATTTTTGCATCCTGGCAACCACTGTGACAGTGATCGAGTGCTCACAAAACCACCAGTCTGGCTACTACTCAAAGAGCTGTTTGCTTGGCAAACCTCTTCGGATGTATATGATACATCCATATCACGAGCCAAATTCATCGCTGCGGCGAAGCAAAAAACATATTCTTTTCACGTCAGACGGGTTCGTCTCCGGGACTGCCAGGACGGACTGCCGCCCCATAGACCCCCCAGTCAACCACCCCTGGCCGTTTCTTGGCAGTCCGTCCTCGCACTCCCAAATGGCGGTCGTGTCTGGGATTTGAACCCAGAAGACCCGTTTTCATCCCGGTTGGGATCCGTTTTCGTACCGAACCGAGAAGGTACGGTGATGTGTGAAGGCACTGTTATGTAGGTGCCAGGAGGGTCCAGTCGTACCGTACCGGTTCGGTACGACTGGATCCCTAGGGAATGGGTCCTTCGAGTCTCGTCTCATGGAGTCCCTCCACCAGACTGAGACTCCATACCAAGGACGCGGAGGATGCGAAGGTGGAGGCCATCGCTCCGTGACCCATGGGACTGCCAGTTCTACATTGGGGTGGCTTGAAGGGGTCAATGGGGCGGCAAATATATTCCAGTCCCATGGAGGCCATCGCTCCATGCGTTCTTCAATCAATATGTTTTTTTGTTCACACGTGGTCTGGGCTGTGAGCGAAGGCCGCAGTCCTGCGAAGGAACAGCGGAGCCTTAGCTCATCAGTCCTCAGATTCAACGAAAAAAACGACTTAATAAGAAACAATGGAAGAGCATCTAAGACAGAAAGAAGAAACAATGGAAGAGCATCTTGGATGCTCTTCCATTAATTGATGCTTGGTCCTTCGATTCGCACTTCCTGAACCCGTCGCTTCCGTCGCGTCCGACGTCGTTCGACCTCTGTCGTGTGGTCGTCCGGCCGGTCGCGCGTTCGTCGCGGGTCGCCGCCTGGCTCGACAAATCGGCCACGAACCAAGTGAGGCTCGAAGCCTCCCAAACGATGCCTGGCGTGAGGTCCGGGGCGAACGGTCCGGCCCTGGGGCCCTGGGGCACAGGGTTTGGGACCAAAAGGTTTGGGAGGAGCAAGAAGAAACAATGGAAAGAGCATCTAAGACAGACGAAAGACATCTGAAAGACCAGAATCGAAGGAGTGCGACAGCCCTGCGACAGTAGCGGCTTTCAGCCAACAGTACCGCTCGGGAAGAGCGAGCGTAAGACCGACAGATTCGGACCTGACCGGACCAGAATACGACATGCCGAGTGGAAACCTCCCGAAACGGTCTTGGTTGTTCCACTTATGGCTTTCTTGAGATTCTGACCATGCAAAAATGTCTGGGAATGGGGAGGGAGTCCAGAACTGCTTCTGGTTGGGTCGAACCAGGAGTGGGCCCTGGCGTAACCCGAATCGGTGGATCCTTCGAAAGCTCAGAGCTTGCCAGATCACGAACCCTAAAAGCTCTGGAAAGACGAGGCACATCAAAAAGACATTTAATGAAGAACACGTCGTTTTGACCATTTTCAGTAATCATATAACATAGAGCTGTAGGGCCAATTCATTTGGACCGTAATTAGTCTTTAGTCGAACAGATCTGCAGCCACTGTAGGGCCATGGTCGTCTATGGTTGTGAGATGTTGTGAGTCTTCTCACCTCCAAATCAAGCGCCCTGCCCTCTCCACAACATTTGTCGACTTCTAGCCCCCCACGATAGCAGGGCAGCTCCAAGCAAGTTCGAAGTGAAGTCCCACGAAGGCCCTTTGCATGATATCCTTCTGCATGGCGAACACCCTTTTATTTAGCAACATGTTGCCAAATAGTCATGCCCAAGAGGGTTAAAGCACCAGACTATATAGCTTTGGTACTAGCTTTGGTACATGGTGTTCGCGTTGATCTCGATCTCTCCTTATAGTGGTTCCCTTACATAGATAGTGGCACGGTTTCCAATACATTTTGAGTGGAGATCTACATTACTGAGGTCTCTCCTTGGCTGTTTTTCACGCAACAAAAAGCCTTCGTCGATGTTTCCGGCACAACCGCTTTGCCCCAACCGACGACTCTTAGCGGTGCTCGCGAGCGACTCGACCGCCTATAGGCGGGCGACGACCGCCCTCGCCTGTTCAAGGAGCGCCACAAGTGCGTCTTCCGCGCGGCCAAGTCCATCTGGATTTCAGCGAAGCAGAGCGCGGCGAGTTGACGAAACCGATGAGCGCTTCGCTGGCGGCTAAACTGCTTGGGGAGCGATGGGACCGGACCAATGGGCAATTCAAGGCCACACCAAAAGGCCCAAGGCTAAGCCTTTTAGCCACGATCGGAGCGATCGGATGCTACTTACTCGGGGCTCCTGGCCTTACGAACGGAGCGAGAAAGGATGCGACTCGAAGGGAGCGAGCGCTCGGATGACAAAAAGGGAAGATCCCTCTGGTCACTGGATCATGCGTTTCTCACCGGAGACCCGCAGATCACATGTCCTTGCTCAGACCATCCATGAAGGTAAGGAATAGTATACATTGGGACCTGTAACAGTGGATGATGATGGTTAGTAAAGGCCTTGTTCAAAAAAAAATCAAACATATATATAGTGATAATTGTTTACTGAAGTATACATACATTTACCCCATTTAAGACACCAATCTATAGGTAACTATTCATATTCCATACATGTATTGTCTGGGTTGTTATTTTTACAGGACGGTTGTTCGCATGCCTTCCGCTGCTCGGATGAACAAGACTCCAAGCCAGTGCGCAGCTGGGACTTGTAGATCAAGCAAACTGGGAACAACTGGGGGCCTCTCAAATGCACTGATTTGTCTACCGAAATCCGATAGAAAGAACTCATGGTTTCGCGCCTCAGCCTGAAAAACCCTTTCAGCATGTTCCTGCTTCATCGGCCCAAAACACTCCGGTCTGTCATTTGTAGGACACCAATGTGACGCCGATATTTCAAATGGACCTGGATGGTCGAGGCCTGAACAAAAAGAAGAGCGAAGGATTTGTCTGGCAGAAATAGAGCACTGGACACCATTTTCAGACCCGACACATGATCTGGCCAATTCCCTGGATTCTCATTGGCAAATTGGATAATATCTGGTGTCGATACAGTTCCCATTGTTCAAGATTCCTCTCAAGGAAATTGCTGCCCTTAGTGAGGCAACTGAGAGGCCAGGCGCTCTGCTTGTAGGCCTGCAGCGCCAATGGCTTCAAAAGCAATTGGTATGCCTACAATACTCCGCTGCCTTAGCATCTGGGCTTGACAATAAAAAACATCATAGGACCGAAAACACCACCAGCACAAAAACCATGTTAACTGTTGAGTAGTATTCTATTCACGCTGGGGAGAATGGTGGCAAAAGAAGACTGCAAAGAAGGTACCCGACATCCGAGGACATGTCGATCTCCTCGTGAAAAAAGTAACACGGGTGTCGAAGAGGATTGGAAGAGAACCGGTGTAAACAACCATGCATATCAACCAATAAGAAGGCGCCAAACACAGCAAGGAATCCGAACACTCCAACACTCAATTGAGTCTCCTTGGACAAAGCATGAGAAGCCTGTACAGCTCCCAGACAAGCTTCCAGGGTCGCTTCATAACATCAACCGTAACAGAAAGACGACTATTCGGAAGGATGACACCGGTGCGGATCTCTGAGAGATAGCCCAAACGGGTGCCGCCATCCCCAGGCAGCTCAATGGGAAAAGTCCGTCCGAATTCAATCAGTGACACTGTCTGCTTGTATGGCCCTAGAATATCTTGAGAGGAGAGCCAAAGTCAATACGGCCAGGGAAATGATTCAGGGTCATCTGAAGGCCGCTCACAATGCTCAATCTCAATGCATGCTACACCGGAAACATCGCTGAGCGCAAAGATCAGCCAGATCAGCCACCCCTTGCTATCCAATCATCAACTACATGGGTGTGTATTAAAATAGGGAGACCTCCCAGTTCGACCCCCTGAAAAAGGGAAATAGACCAAAACCGATTAGTTGACAAAGCTTGCCGGGGATGTTGAACATCAGGCACAGAGACTTCACGACTTTCACAAGTTTTGGGTTACAGCCACGACCAAAGCTATGGCAAAGTCGGATAACCAACACAATTCGACTACACAGACAACACCTACTTTTGACGAATTTTTCTCACGACAGCCGTGTACTTATCCGTTTCATAACTTGGGTGACGATGTCGGCGACGATGCACCTTTCGGTAAAGAGTTCACGGACAGGTTTTTACAATGGTTCCAACACGTTGGTTTCATTGACAACGTTCCTGACGAACAGGCTTCTAGTTTGCTCGAGCTCTACGTTTCATTTGCACTATCGACAGGAACTATGACTCCGGTCTATGTTCGTGCTCTTAAGAAAAAGACTAAAGCAAGGCCTTCGGCCTATGTCCTTCGGGAGAACTCTCTTGCAGCAAACACTAGTGCGGCAGATCTGAACGGACAGCTTCGGATCTTTGTGCAATTCATGAAGTGGGTGTCTTCACACCTACATGCCTTTTCATTGTTTGCACCCGAGGCGGTCTTCGACGCTTGGGTTACCTTAGCGCTACCACTTACGTTAGTGGGCAGTTCGTTGTTCCGAACGGACATGAGGTTTGTACACCTTTATGGGAGTACTTCCATCAAGGAAGGCGTTCCGCTTACAATTTGAAGGCGGCCTGGCGGCCGGGAGTGAAGGTTCGCCACATGGATGAACCATATGGCAGTTAGCATTTTCCATTTTGCACGATGCTGAGGATCTAATTGTGTTCACCTTACGCAAAGCTGAGGGTGACCATGGCAGGCGACGCTTGCATGAAACGTCAAAGACCAAAAACCGATTGGTTGGGGGTCCCTCAATAAAAATATACACCCACATGTTCGGGGTCTGTCTTGGGAACATGCGATGCAATCTTATGCACGGAGCATGCCTCCCAATCAACAAACTGTAGAATGGTGAGAGCCTCATCCCAAGGTCCTTGTGTGACCAGTGTGAAGGGACAATGCCAGTTTGCCTGAGGTAGGAGAGTTTCTGTGCAACATAGGAGCTGTCCCACCAGATTGGGAATCGATCTTGTCTTTCTTCATTGCATCAACCCCTGTGGGTGGTTGACATCAGTGTGAACCTCACCTGACATAATGCCCAATAAGCATGACTTACCTGGCCCAGTGGATCCCAGTACCACTATATAAAGAACCAGGGATTCTAAGTCTATGGTTTTAGTCTTTGGAACCACTGGTTACCAGCTATATTATATAGTGGTAACTGGATCCCGGGTGGTTCATTGGCATTGATGACCATGGCCCAAGCGGCCTGATGACCCTTAGCTGAGCCACCAACATGCACCGCTCATGTTCCTGAGTTGCATGGTTGGATAGATCCTGATCTAGAGCTGTGGAGGCGCTGGAATGCAGCGAATGGCATGGGTTCCGCCACAAGCCTGTTCCGCCGTGCAGGAGGGCGCCGTTTTGAGTGTGAAGGCACAGGAGAGCTTCATTGCTCGAGTCTCTGATCAGCGAGCTGCGGCGCCTCCGATCCTGAGAAATGCCGGCCGCCAGTGGGCCAGCCCGCAAGTCCAAAGAAGGAAAGACAAAGCTCGGACGCAAATGCCTCAGGTGAAAACGGATCTTCAGCAGAGCGACACGCGACAGGCGACAGAGAGTTGCACGCTGAAGTCGTTGCAGTGAAAGCCAAGTGTTCCTGCAAACACGCGAGGGGAGGATGGTCCTTGGGCTAAACTTCCTCACAGCTGTTTCCACAATCCAACACTTTGCAGCTGCACACATGTTCATGCCCTCCACAATGAGAGAGAGAGAGAGAGAACTCACCGACCCACAAGTTTTTCAACCCAAAGTCAGGGGTGGTGGGGCAACTTCCAGTCTCAAAAGAGCCTCATCTTCACTAGTCAGCCCCATGTATGAACTTACCTGCCCACATGCTGAATTTCCGACCTCCGGGATGATGTCCGGCCTCTCAGGCCTATCAGGGCTACAGGCCTGTATCCAGGAAGAAGTCTTTGGGATTCCCCAGCAGTTCCGCAGAGGTCCCCCAGCCGCAGCCTTCAACGGCCGCCCGGGACACACGGGAACGGGAGAACTTCTCGAGAAGATCGCTTTTGAACTAATGGATGAGAATGGATGATGAGGAAGAGGATGATCATGATGATGAATGATGAAAAAGGAAGGAAGGAAGGAAGGAAGGAAGGAAGGAAGGAAGGAAGGAAGGAGAAACGATCCGTGTCAACCGTTGAAGATGAATGATGTGCTGACCCTGGGGCCGTTTTTCCATTATCCAGGAACGATGCCTCAAAAAGGTGCAGCGAAGCCCTCAAACAACAATTTCGATGTGTCCTAATCACGTGAAGTGCTTTTGACCTTTGACCCCCCAAAACACACTTTGACCAACACGACTCATGGGACTGGTGTATATATACATATATAAATATATGCCTCCCCATTGACCCCCTGTTCAAGCATCCCAATGTATGGATTCATATGCCAGTCCCATTGAGGGTCCTGGGTTTGCACCATCTTGACCCCCATGCCTTCTGATGCGACTTTGACTTGTACCAGCGACGCTTCCGGTGAAGCCTCAGGAGGACTGTGCCATCATGTCCCATCTGTATTCATATAAATATATATATATATATATATGTACCAGGACCTTCAAAGTGACCTTTTGAGATCCCAGAATGAGGGCACTTAGTCCCTGAAGAGCTCACTTACAGACTCCAAAGAGGTCACTTTGAAGGAATTAAATATACACAGTATACCGATGTATCCTGTATTTGTATATCATTACATTATATATGGTGTATTCTTTTATAGGTTGGAACCGTTGCAGGATGACCGTCTCAAAGTTGCTGCTTGCAGAAACCAATCACCGCTGTAAACAGGAACCTGTCCAAGGATTGTGTGCTTTCGTGTAGGGATGCATAAAACATTGCGCCATATAGGGTTAGCACCTCTAGCCTCTAGCCTAGAATGCCCAAACCAAACACTGTTACAACATGTTACAGCATTCCAACCACAGAAACAATATACCATCGTAGAGAAAACGGGGGCGGTGGTGAAACAAGTGAGAAAACACATGCTGGTGTGCTTGATGGCTTCAGCAGCAATACCTCAACCCAAAACGATCACCGCGGCCTATGCGGTAACCTATACCAGCAACCAAGTGACCCAAGTGTTTCTGGCCTTCCAAGGAGGAAAAACAATGCTTTCTTGACATTTCTTTGTGGGATTCAGGCTATTAAATCAATGCACCGTTCCGCTTTGCTTTTTCATCCAATAGGCCAGGTAAGTGACTCGACAACTGCAACGAT